CAGCCACTTCCCCAAAACCCCAAAACCCCAAAACCCCTAATCCAGCCAGGTTACTCGAATATAGGAATGATACTTTCACCTATATATTGTAATACATTTAAATTTTAACTTAAATCACAAACTTAAAGATATGTCAACCAACATCATAAAAAGCTAGAGCGATACTAGATAATACAAGCACATAACCTTGGCCAACAAGATGCAAATTCTAATGGTCTCAGACCCTGAGGCTGATAAGTCAGCTGCATCATTAGATGTAAAAGTTGGATGCTCTCTAGATCCAAAGCCACTGTATGGAACTGCTCACTTCCTTGAACACATGCTCTTCATGGGAACTGAAAAATATCCTTCAGAAAATGAGTATACCGAGTTTATTAAGAATAATGGAGGCAGTGATAATGCTTTTACCTCTCTCACAGACACTAACTATTACTTCGATATCTCAAATGAGGCTTTTGCTGAGGCTCTTGAGAGATTCTCTCACTTTTTCAAGAAGCCATTACTTGGAGAATCTTCAACTGAAAGAGAAATGAAGGCAGTAGATTCAGAGTTTAACCAAAGTTTGTAAAGTGATGCATGGAGATACTTTGCAGTGATGCAAGAGAACTGCAACCCTGAAGGACTCTTAAACAGATTTAACTGTGGTAACTTAGAGTCATTGAAGCAAGATGGCATAAGAGATGCACTTCTAGAATTCCACAAGAAGTGGTATTCAGCCAATATCATGAAGCTATGTGTTGTTTCAAACAAAAGCATCGATGAACTTGAGACTTTAGTCAATGAACTTTTTAATGAGGTACCAAATCATGATGTTGTTGTTCCAAATCTTGGTGAGCCAGCTCCTTTACTCCCAAGTGACCTTGGTCAGCTATATAAATTTGTTCCAGTTAAAGATAAGGATATTTTGAATCTTTATTGGGTTCTTCCATATTCTTAATTAGAGCATAGATCTTAGCCATTGAAATATTTCTCTAACTTGTTCGGCCATGAGGGTGAAAACTCAATCTTGTCCTACCTTATCTCAGAAGGTCTTGCTTTAGAGTTATCATCTGGATATGATCACGAGCTTTGGAACTTCAGTTGTTTTTATGTAGATATTACTCTCACCAGAAAGGGCTTAGAAAATGTTGAGAGAGTCATTGAATCAGTATTCACTTATGCTCACAACATCAAGGCCAAAGGTGTCTAAGATTACATCTTTGATGAGATTAAGAGAGTAGGTGAAATCAACTTTACATTTGCTGATAAATCAGGACCCTAGAGATACGCTTTAAGATTAGCAGGGAAAATGCAGACATTCGAAGGGGATGATTTACCTTACATCTTGCAGCACAGTTATATTGCAGATGTTTTCGACAAACCAAGAATAGAATAAATGCTTGATCTAATGCTAGACTACAAAAATCTCAACATTTTTATCAGATCAAAATCATTAGAATCAATATGCGATAGAGAGGATAGATGGTATAAAACTAAATACTCAAGATAGTCATTCTCAGAGGAAATGATTAGAATAATAAGTAGTCCAAATGTTCCAATCAATAAAAAATAACTTGATTATCCCCCACCTAACAATCTCTTACCAAAGGACTTGGATGTCTTAGAGGCAAACCAAGCTCATTCAGCTAGACCTATTCTGGTATAGCAATGGAATGAGACTGATCTATGGTATAAAAAGGACGATAAATTCAAGAGACCCAAGGCAATTGTGGAGATGAAATTATACACCAACGATTGTATGTTTGGAAGAACTGCTCATGCTAGAGTGTTTATTGAAGTCTGGAATAATATGTTGAAAGAGACCCTTAGAGAATTCAACTATACTGCTTCAATGGCTGAATTGGAAACAACTACTTCTGTTTATCATGATAATGTTAATTTCGTTTGGAATGGCTACAATGACTCCCTTCCAGTCTTTGTAGTTGAAACTCTTTAAAGAGTGAAATCCTTCAGAGTTGAAGATTACAAGGAGACCTTTGACTAAGTCAAAGAGAAGTTGCTTTAAGAATGGCACAACTTTTACTTAGAGCAGACTTATATCCAAGCATATTCTAACTTTGAGAATATAATTGTCTCAGGTGCGTATGAGAAGAGAACATTGAGAAATATTTTAGAAAACTTCACACATGAAGATCTAATTAGTGTAAGCAAAGACTGGCTGAAGTCAGGTAGGACACTGTGGTTCGTGGATGGCAATATCTCCAAAGATTCAGCCATATCATTGGTTGAAAAAGCAAGAGAAATTCTTTAGATCAGACCTGTTGATAAGGAAGACCTTGTTGACATCAGATGTATCGCTCTTCCAGCTCAGCAAACCCAACTACTAGAGGTGCCATTATAAGATAAGACTAATGAGAACTCATGCTTAGTATCATATTTTGAAGTTGGGCTTGAGGCAAATGATATCAGGAAAAAGCTAACTCATCAAGTTGTTATGCAATATTTGGATGAGCCAACCTTCAATTAACTCAGAACAATCGAATAACTAGGCTATGTGGTATTTGCAAGATCGTCATCATTTAGAGATGTGATAGGAAGTAGATTTATTGTTCAATCACCTGGCTAGAGTTGTGAGTACATCGTTAACAGCCTGAACACCCTCTTGAATGTCCAAAGATAAAAGGTGAAGGAACTCTCAGACGAGGATTTCAAGACTCAGGTCGACTCTGTAATGACTAAGATAGCAGAGAAAGACTACAACTTAAATTCAGAGCACTCAAGACTCTGGGGTGAAATATCAACACACAAATATGTCTTTGATAGATAAGAGAAGGAGATTGAAATCCTTAAGACTTTAACTAAGCAATAATTCCAAGATCATTTCGAAAAGACTTTCTTTATTGACAGAAAGAGACTAGACTATGAATTGACCTCAGAAAAGCATAAAGAAGGCCAGGAGGAGTGGAAAGCTAAAAATTTGGCTGCTTACTATCCAAACGCAGAGGAGAGAGTTCAAGTAGAAGTATCACTACAGACCTTCAAAAAGCAAATGAGTCTTCATCCAGATCTCTTCAAAGCCAGCTACGCTTCATTCAAAATGTGAGCGAGTTATAATTATTAATCTTAAATATAAGTAACTAAATATTTCTATCAAGCATTTTTATCTGAAGGGGTTTTGGGGTTTTGGGGG